CCTTTCATTATATTTTTCTCCCTCCTGTCCAATTGAAGAGGCGGAGTGATAGAGTGGGCTTTGGTGAGCACCTGGCATCCAGACAGGGTCAACCCACCACAGTAGCAAAAAAAACCCCCCACCAAAACAAACAAACAAAAAACACCAAAACCATAAAATCCAAGATGCATCTGCATCTTGAATGCTGCACGTGGCTCTAGATCCCAACAGAGGCAAAAAAACGGGGAGATGGGAAATCGGGGAGTTGTATTCAGCTGGCTGATTTTCTACTTAACTAGATGCTGGGTTATATATTTGAATTTCTCCTGTCTGAAGATAGTAAAAAGAGCATGAAACTGTTCATCTCAGTTTCCCACTCCTCTCCTCCTTCCTAGAGAAAATTTCTGGCTCTGCAACTGTAAACCCTGAGATTTTCCTACCTTTGATTAGTCATCAATGATGTTCAAAATAACATTCATGAAAAGGGCAGAGATAACTTATATTACACCTAAATTCTGGTCTTGGCTTGTAGAATTACTGGGATGCAATGATGTTACTTTGGTCCCTCTTCTTGAGGTGAGAGCTGTTTTCTGGACTAGCTGTGGTTTCTTGACAAAGGTTAAATACCAGACTACAGACTGCCACAAAAGGCACAATGCAACCTTGCCATTCCCTCCTCCCCATCACAAGCTTTTTACAGCAACACAACTCAGCCAAGCCTGGGTTCTAGCCCAAGTTTTGTCTGCGTAATTCAAACTCCAGCAGCTGGTCTTGATTGCTGTGAAACCTCTCTTCAAGGTTCTGAGCTTACACAGATAATCAGAAAAGATGGCTTGGCATCCAGGAATCGAATCCTTAGTCTCTGCTAATTGGAAAGTTGCAACATTGGAACAAAATAAATTATAGTTATCAGTGGTGATACACAGCAATATGCAGTGCATAAGATTTAAAATGCAATGTAACAATACAAAAATTGTCTAACTACATTACAGCATATATTTTTCAAGTCCAAACAACAGCGGAAACAAAGTAGCTGCTCTCTATCATGAGTATTTATTTATCTTCTAAATGTTACACAGCATATTTATATTTCTTTGCTACACTGTACAAACATTGACTATAAGCAAAGCAGAAACAGTGAAAGGATACTTATGTCCTGATAAGCATAGGTATTAATATTAGGTTCATGCCATTTTCAGTATTCTTCACTGAAACCATAGAATCATAGCATGCTGTGAGTTGGAAGGGACTCAAAAGGATCGAGTCCAACAAGAGCTAGTTTTGCCTTACAATTACTATAACACAGCTACCAAAAATTAATAAAATCTCTTTGTGAGTCATCAATTCAATCCCAATAAACAAAAGGTACTGCTCAAAAGAACAAATCTTTATTTCTAAATGACTAGGAAGATATCAAATAAATATCTTTATCACTACTTATCTATATATTTTCTTTTTACTGAGATGGGATTTTAGCAAGATTTTTTCTGAAAAGCTTTTCTTTTCACATAATAAAAGTAGCTGTTTATCAAAGTCAAAATTAAACTATTCCATACTACAGTATGGTCAATTTAATAACAATTGAGAAAAAGATTTTTCTCCACCTTGCTAGTGTCAGTGGACAGTCACTTTTTAATGATATTTTCAGAAATACCTGCATTGATGCTCCTTCCACCCTTGCTACACAGGCAACTCTATCCAGGAAAGTCACCGTTACCGGAACAGCAACAAAGAAACCTTTAAAAAAGGCTTTAATGTATCTCTTCCCAAAACCTTGAGTCTGTGCCATAATCTGAAAGATACAAAAAATGGAAAAAAAATTGTTATAAAACAGATTTTAAGTAACAACAACATTATAGCAATCCAACAAGGAGCAATTAAGAATATCCACAATGTCTCCCAATATCCACAGTGAAAAAAAAAATTAATGTGCACATAAGAATGAAACTGAATAGAAATCTTCATCAGAATTTAAGGCCACTCTACAGAAGAGCGCTTCATACTTGACATATACCCTTCAGCTAATTTGACTATTTTTTGTAATCCTGTGCTGGCAGAAGAACTTGACAAAAATGGCCCAATGATAACAGCTAAGTTAAGCAAGAAGTAAACTGATAAAACGAGACAAAATCTAACTATGTATTGGAGTCGGGGGGGGGAAGGGGTGGGGTGGGTAGGAAACTAGATTGAAATAACTAATTACAGAGCATTCAGTTGGAGTTTACAAACAAAATTTTGTAAATAATTTTATCTCCATACACTGGTAATTATTAATTTGTGAACCCCAAAGGACTGTGTTATGTAAGGAAAAGCTAACTATTTGCAACACATTACCATTTCTTTGTTATATATTTTCACGCATAAAAATGCACAAATAAATCATTTCCGCACTTGTGGTAACTGCAAACGTGTAAAATCTATTCAAATTGTCATGTGTATCATAGGGACACACAGTAAGACAACACCTCCCTGTTCACTGCTACATGAGAAAGTCAAAAGCATACTGGCAGACTGGGCCACTAAGGTATGATACGTGGGATTATTCCACTCCATCTCACCATTTATTATGCTATCTCCCATCTATTTATTTAGCCCTGAACCACTGAATATTCTTGAAAAACACCTACAAAATACACTGAAACATAAGTTGTTTGATTGTATTAGTTATACCTCTGAAAAGCAAGCTGAATATCCAGGTACTGCTACAAAGGTACAAGACTATTTTGCATAACTGCAGTTTGATTGTAAGAAATGCTGCCCTTCACCTATTGGCAAATCAAATTTAAACTGTTGTTTCCACCTAATGAGTCCCTGGTAAACCCTGCACAAGATCAGTTAGTGGAGCTCCTGCTCCCTCTACCACATCCTAACTCTGACAGCCAGTAATAGAAGGACAAAATAGACTGTGCCCTGAGTCTTTCAGGGTTAAAATGCCCTACTTTCAACTTCTCGTTTAAGAACTTGTTATTGGAATCAATCCACCAAAAGAGACTATCGCCTCAGTCGGCACAGATTTACATTTAGAATTATTCCACATAAAAATAGAATCTCTAAAAATCAGATTTTTGACTACAATTTAAAAAATTATACCATTTCATCCACCTTAACATCCTTTTCTCAACCTACTCAATTCTCTCGAGCTCTCTGGCTGGAATTCTACTCCTCTGCTATGAGGTCTGGCATACCTCAGACCTTCTCCACTCTAACAGCAATGTCAGCCTCAGAACACAATTTTGAGACCTTGCCCACAAACTTATCCACCATGTTGTCCATGGTCACTCTTTGAGCTGAAAGACACTGTCTGACAGATGTATCACAATATAACTGATTTATGAATTTTTTTCAAAAACTTTGAGAAATCAGAAAAATTTACTTTTTAAATTCCTCATAGTCAAACCTATTTTTCACTAATAATGAAGCACTCCACCACTTCTACTAAATCTATTGACAGATCTTGTTATAAACTTCTTGCAAAGCCCCATGCTGCTATCTACAGAAAAAATCTAGTATCTGAAGAAAAGTAATTGGTTAGACAACCCACAGGAGACCAACCATATGCTCCTGGAACTACAAGCTAATTAATAGTGACACAGGATCCAGCAGCCAGGTTAAAACAGTTGAGACAAAATGCTACATTGTCAGTACATCAATTGGCCAAGGCAATACCGGAGTATTAAGCAGCTGTGGACAAAGCCGGGAATTCAGGTCCTCCTTTTGGTTTTCAGACACACATAGTATTACAAGGCACAGTATGAATAAAGATAAGGGGAAAAACATCAACAGCATCCCTACAAGCAGTCAATTTGCAAAGCCACCAAAGCCAACAACAGCTGTAGTGCCGGAGGACTTCTCTACTTGCCCTGAATTTTCCTTCCTTCCTTCCTTCCTTCCTCTACTTGGCAACTGATCAAACCACTGGTTTTATCTTCCATCCACACTGAGATTAACCCTTCATTTCCAGTCACACACTACAGTCTGAAAGTTTCCTGGTTCCTCACCTCCTACAGTCAAGAACAGCTTTTCCCCAGGACACAAGCTGAGCAGGCCTGTAGATTACTACAGAAGTCCTTCTTCCAAAAAGATAGTAAACATATGCACACACATTTTAAAAATTTTGAGAACTGCTTAAAAAAAAACAAATCCATATTTAACCTTAAGCCCTTCCATATAATAATAATAAAAAATATAAGATTTATAAAAATCTTCTGTAAATAAGAAGTTATTACATGTCAGTATCTCATTGAACAGTGTGCCCATTTCTGCCAGGTCTTTTTCATAAGCTTTCCTCTCCAAAAAGCACAGACAAGCATTTACCACAGTACAGGTACACGCACATGCAGAGCTGCCGTGCAACTGCTGACACAATAGTTCATCATCCAAGTGCCAGTAGACGGAAAGTGACCCATCACTCTTTCAGTAAGAGGGGCTTCAAATTGTCCTGCACTGCCACAGGAGAAGAGCTTGGATGTAGGCAGAAGAAAGACAGTTTGCAGTATTATCTTCTACCAGTAACTGTACACATGGATGGATAATCCTCAACTGATAAATACTCTTTGATTAAAATGTGCAGTGTTTTCTTTTCTTATAGTTAGGTGGTCTTAGGAGAAAAAAAGGGAAAAAAGTAATGACAATTATTTACTGCAGCTGCAAGAAAGAATTTAGGGTAGTAAAGGGTAGACACTACAAAGATCCTTACCACTTTTTTTTTAAATAAATAATTTTCTGGTTGGAATATCTGTTTAAAAATAAAGAAAATATTAGATAGCTATCGCTCCTGGAAATAATATTCTGCTCTTAGACATTATATTTTATAACCTCAATGTGCTATACTTAACTATTTTCTTAGAAAACACTGAGTTTAAGAAAATTTGTGAAAACTACTGAAGGAAATATTGCTATAACTTTCTAATACTTCAATTTGATACATTTTTTCTCTATATTATAGAGAAATTTTACATTTATAATATAGAATTTTTCCAGTTTACATTTATTTGCCATTTATATTAAAGATATATTGTATCTATTATTTTATATTTTTCTGCATCAAATTAATGAACAGGTTAATCAAAAAATGCATAAATCTCACATGTGCCTGTCATTTATATACAAAAGTTTTTATGTCCAATGTTCAAAATGAATTACAAATTTTAGCAAGGTTGAAATTAAGTATTTCAAAATCTCTATTCTACTTTATTTTTAGAGAGTAGATCTTACAAAGTTACTTCTCTAATGCTCCTTTAAATTAAGTTTTATTTATTTTTTAAAGAAGAATACCCTCCAGAACAGATAGTCAACTTTTAACAGCTTTAAATCTGATTATATAGAATCTGAAGAAGTGTTGGACAGTAGCAGTCAATAAAAATGTTAAGGACAAGAAGTTAATTATTTCATAGGTATACAAAGATACACTAATGAGTTTGAAAGACATAACTCAGTTTCCTAATATATGAACAATAAAAGATGGTAATCATATACACTACTTAAAAACTGTAAATTCATCTGAGCAATAAATCAGCAAGTAACAGCTGGTTCAAGTGCTTTCTAAAAATAAGATCTCTGTGAAGTATCAATATTTAATGATACTGACTGGAAATCTCTGGTATGTAAAATTTAAAAGATTTTAAAGTACCTGAAGATTTTAAGAGCATCACATTTCCAGAGTAAAATTCTGAAATCCAGTGCTATGCCTGTTTTATGCTGACAGTTAAATATACAGCAGGTTTAAATGTATATCAGTGGAGCAAGGAAAAGATTCTTTGCTGAAAAAAGTAATTTCACTACCACATATTTCTGGATCTCTGCCCAGTCAGTGACACCTTGAATAAAATCAACAAATGACAACACTTAAAAGATGGTGCAACAAAATCAAGCACGTAAAACATAGTAAAAATAATTTAGAGATGCATACACTTATCACCATTTATAAATTATTCTTGGTTTAGGAAAAAAAAAACAACCATAGAATAATTCAGTAGAACAGACAAACTCCAAAGCAACAACCTTGAAACCTTCTTTGAAATGGCAACATGAACAAGAAAAATCCAAGATCAAAAATGCTAGCATATAGCAGGTCAAAGCATTAAGAATTTCACATTGTGCAGCTCAGAGATTAAGGCAGATGGAGCACAGCATTATCTGGACTGAAGTATCTGGTGCACAAAAGGTCCAGGGATTATAATGAGCCTCTCGTGGGTACTACAACATATGGAGCAGAGATGCTATTTAGATAGCTCTCTATGTGTAAAATGTTTATTTTTTCTTACACTTGCCTGCACATTAGAAGACACTGTTTATCAAACAGCCTGCAGAAACTCATCAAGTAACATTCAGAAAGCCCCAGGTTACAATATATTTGCAAATCTAGGTACTTAAAAATTACCCACAGAAGTATTATAGGAAAAATAGCTGTAAAAACAAGGCATTAGCAGTCATCCACAAAGGAAATAAAATGGCCCCTGATGTGCTTCTACAAGAAGGCATGTGAGGGAACAGGAAGGAGGGAATTACAACCTATATGCAAAACAACCACCCAGCCAAGACTGCTCTGTTAGTTTTAAATGACCTATTTGATCTAGTTCAGAAATTAGTAACTGCACATAACTAACTTCTCTGTGAATCGCAACATGCATTTTTCTGTAAATCAACGGCATCACACTAGAATTCAGGCATATATGGTTTAAAGACAAGGAAGACTTTCCTAACAGAAAATACCAAAATACATGAACGAGCCCAATTCTGTGGCATCCAATGAACTCTAAAACTGAGCACAAAAACTTTTTTTGTTTTAAG